GATTCCACCCATAGATCATGCTGGGAGGGAACACACTACAGAGGTGTATACATGTTCGTGGTGTGTTTATAAGGTTAGTAAATCAACCCCACTGTGTCACACATCCTGAGGGGCTGGAGTTTCCTGCCCCCTAGTGTGCATCCAATACTTCAAGGCGCTAAAGGATCTGCCCCCTAGTGTGCATCCAATACTTCAAGGCGCTAAAGCACTTCACAGAAGAAATCTGTTTGGTAACGCATTGTATTCAACATGCATCTACAGAAGCTCACTGTTCTACATGTAGAGCATATGTATTGTATGATTCTCACACAGATGCCAGTTTTTTATATATGTGTGGCAAGACTTTTGTGGGTTTGAGTACCACTGGTATTGGAGGTAGGGATGGGCTTGATGTTCGAGTTGAACAACATCACTAGTTTGTGTGTGTTCGGCAAACACAGGAACTATCAGGGCGTTCGGCGGGCTGTTTGCCTACTGAGCTCCCCACAAGGCACTATGCACTGCACAGTGCCTTTGAGAAACCTGACTTGGTAAAGCAATGCACCTGACCACAGGTCAGGTGCAACACTTTGCCCAATCACAGCACAGTGCGCTGTAAGAGCCATGATTAGGCAAAGTAATGTTGACTTTGCCCAATCATGGCTCACAGCTATGTCTCAGCCACACACTATATAAGGCTGTGCACACAGTAGCCTTATGTAGTGTGCTGCTGTTGTTAATTATAGGTGTAGGTAGATGCAGTTAGGTGTAGTTAGGTGTAGTGTAAGCTAACTGGTGTAAGTGCTTTATACAGCATGTTAGTGCTATATGCAGTACTGTATATAGTATTATTTTCTGTGCAGTATATTCACTGTCTTTTCTTTGTCTTTTTGTTTGTGTCAGTGGCGTCGCTGGTGTTCCTCCTTCTGTGTCACCAGTGTTCTCATTTTTTTGATTTATTTTTTTTCAGCAGCAGGTTCTTTTGTTGCCTCATTGCTGTCCCTCCTTCCGTGTCGCAGGTGTTACCGTTTTTCTTTCTTTACCATCTCTAATACCATTGTACAACAGTTTATAGTGCACCAAGCACCACATGCGATAAAGTATTGCACCCAAGCACCAATTTCCCATCCCACAATAATAAAATTATTATTCTGCATTGCTGTATAATGTATTGCTGGGATTTCCTTGGGCTGCTGTGGTTCAAGTAGTCCTCTATAGCTGGTGGTACGGTGGTATTATTCTGTATTGCTGTATATTTTATTGCTGGGATTTCCTTGGGCTGCTGTGGTTCGAGCTTTCTGGGGGTTATATGTCCCCCGCATAAGCCCCACATCATGTCTGAAATTCCAACAAGGAGACGGGTGCATATAATGTGAATTGTTTACAGCAGGGCCCATCCCTGCGCTCATCAAGAGTAACTGTGAGGGGTTACAGTGTGGAGGAACCAACATCCAAGGCCCATTTTTTCCACACCTATAAGCCTTCAAAATGGGAACATTTGATTTTCCGGGTTCTGGTACCATAGACTTTCATTGAGTTCTAAGTTTGAGTTAGAACTTTTTCCATGTTCCAAAGTTCGAGTTAGAACCAAACACAGGTGTGTTCAGCCCATCACTAATTGGAGGTCTGAACATTTTGTTTCTATGTATATTTGTTAAACAGTGGACCATTACCACACATTTCTCTCAAATCATCATATCTAAGTGGTATTTTTAGACTCTTAGGAGTGTATATATTTGGACTACTTCTGGGGGCGCTGCCTGATCCGTACCACAGTCAATAGAGTACAGTAAAAGTGCAGGCAGGGCACTAGACAAAGCTCTACGGACAAAATTGAAGTGAAATAGTTTGATTAATATATGTAAATATAGCAGATTACATTGTACTGTGTGTATTCTGTGTAAATGTCATGTTTGCACTTTTGAATTTACCCCCGGCTCCGCCCCCCGCTGTGACGCCCGAAAACGAAACTGAAAGCCAAATGCCGGCATCAGCAGGCCAAACACAGCAGAAGACACAGCGGGCTCGCAGGGACAGGGTAAGTTACACTTTTGCGCAATCCCGAGTGTGGCTCGGGTGTCATGAAGCCAGAGCTAGCCTGCGGGGCCGGAATGCGGGACAGGCACCTGCGCATGAGCATCGTCCTACACAGAGGATGGTGCGCTGCCGCGTGCCTCTACGTAGGCGTGCACGCGTCCATGTGCGCGGACGTGCGCACACGCTCGTTCCTAATGATGGCGCCAAAAGGGCTATTTAAGGCTGAGACACCCAGACCTCCCTGCTGACTGATCTTCAGCTATTACCATGTTCCTGGATCCTGTATACCTGTTGTTTTCCTGTTACCAACCCGGCCTGTTTTGACCTTGCTCCTGTTCTGTGTTCCTTGACCTCGGCTTGTCTTTGACCTCTCTCCTGCCTGCTCCCTGGATACCAAGCTGCCTGCAAGTTACCGACCCGGCCTGTCCCTGATTACGTCCTGCCTTCTGATTCTGTACCTCATTGCCAGATTGTGGATGACCCGGCTTGTGTTACTCTGCTTCTAGGATCGTGTTACCAACCTGCATCCTGCTCTGAAACCTCTGCAACCTGCACACAGCTTCGACAGGAGTCGCAACCTACCGGCACTTGTGCCACTCCTTGTCCTCACGCACCTGTTCCCACCATCCAGGGGTGTTTGGACTGGAGCAGCAAGAGAGGCCGCCCTCTTCATCTCAGGCTCCATCTAAGGTATGTGACATCGGGGGTTACCGCTCTTGGTACTGAAAATTAACCCTGAGCCATACTCAGGAATACCGCCAGGGAGGCAAATGACGCCCAGTAGAATGAGGGTATTTGGTAGGAGACACGGTTGAGACCAGAGCCGGTCTGACCATAGGGTATGCCGGGCACTTGCCCAAAGGGCCGAACTGAACACAGTCAGCCTGATTGTGTTCAGCCCGGCCGTTCCTCTATGTCTGATGCATAGCGTTGGACACTTGGCTGCCCAATGCCATGCATCAGCCTTCTCCGAACACTGCACTGGCCTGCTCTGACGCTGTACACTGACTGGCCAGATTATTATGACCACCCCATCAGTACTTCGTTGGGCCACGAGATTACTTCAGATTACTTCATTGGGCCGCCTCGTGACTCCACGAGATGTTGAAAGGTGATGCAAGGAATCTGACACTGCACTGATGGTCTTCTGTTGTCTTGCCACTCTACGTTCTGCCCTAACATTGACTAGTCGCTGACGGCCACAATTCGCACGTTCAGACCCAGATTTTCGGCTGACAGTCCAGTCTTTAAACACTTTAACAACAGCTGCTCTTCTTCTGCTGAATTCTGCTGTTTTGCTGATACTCGCTCAATGGCTCCGAGCGCCAACAATCATCCCACCTTCAAAGGCTGTTAAATCGAGTTGTTTACCCATATCTTCAGAAAAAAATCACTTCTACTGTCATGGTAAACAACCTGCTTCCCTATTTATAATGGTTTGGCCCTTTAGCAACTTCAGCGTGAAATTATAGTTAATTATAGCTAATTTGCCTACAAACGTCAGGTGGTCATAATAATCTGGCCACTCAGTGTATATAGTGGTGTCAGCAGAGACCACTGTCTGTGGAAGGGAATTCCATGTTTTAACTACTCGCTCAGTAAAAAACCCCTTGCATGTTCTAAGATTAAACCCCCTTTCACAACCTCTTGTTGTGTCCACGTGTTCTCAATACTGAAACATAACAACTTGAAAACAACTTGTTCTGAATATTGTGGTCCCCATTGATGATTTTGAAGACTGCAATAAGGTCTCCTCTTAAGTGCCCCTTTTCTAAGGAGAATAAAAGTTTAATTGTTGGAAGCGGTCTTCATAGCTCAGCCCTTCTATCCCTTTAATTAATTGTGTAGCCCAATGTGCCACCCATAGAGTGTATACTGTATTGTGTCCTCTGTAAGTAGCCAAACTAGGCAGGCCTGAGGCCTAAGACAGCTGCCTGTGCTCCTGGCAGCCCACATGCTATTACCTGTAAGACAACTTTACATGTGAGCATCCACCTGAGTATCAGCATTGTCTGCTGCACATAAAGCTTTCAGTTTGGAGTGGAAATTCTGTATTGTGGCAGAGTTTCCAGCCAATAGAGTCTCGGCTATGAAAGACCTGTCAAAAGCTGTCAGTGCAGTTATGCTGTGGTTGGCCTGTGTACAGAATAAGTGGTATTGTGCTGGAGAACTGGAAACGCTATTTTGGGAGCAGTGACCTGTACACTGTGCTCAGGGTGGCTGGGGAGGTGGAGATCTGCTGAGGATATCACAAGACTTCTCTGCAGCAAGCTTCCTATATTGTTACAAGGTTTGTATGCTGGTTGTAGCAAGACATGTGTGTTGGCTGTAGCCCTCCTGTACTTACCAGCAGCTGGCCTCACCCCTTGACGGTGCTTCCGTGTTTGGCTCCGCCCCCAGATTGGAATGGGGCAGGCCTTTGAGATCGCATGATTGGACTGCTTAGTCTATAATGCTCGGGCCTATTTTTTGTCCCAGTCCGGCCCCAGTTGAGACCTCCTTGCCTATTTACACTTACTTGTAGAAGTGGTTTTTACAGATGCCTAACCACTTCTATATGGTGGGGAACATGAGGCCCCACCGTGCCATTACGTCCTGCCATGTGTAGTAAAATAAAGTGTATTTTTGACTAAACATATTGATTTGAATAACAGAAACACAAATGTCATGCGATATAAAACAACGTCAACGATTAGCTTTTTTTCTACAGGCTCTTTGCATTCAGGAAATATACAGTATAATGTATTGTGGTTTAAAGTGCATTTTCCTAAACAAAATGTGCATATTAGTATGTGTGCGCAAAGTGACACATATGCATCCAACAGCAAAAAGGGCTAAAGGAAAAATCTGTTTATATGAATGACTAAAACAGTTCTTATTTCAGATGCTAATAAATAATAATAGATTTGCAATTTAGTTATATTTATATTATCTATTAGTAATTCTTTTCATTTAAACAGTTGTAGTAAAGTGCTTATACGTACCTCCCCAGATTGAAACTGGCTTGCTAATGGCAGAACGTGCAAAGTTGCTGCCTATCCTTATTGCGTAGATGCAGTAGTATTTCTTCTGAATATGGTTAGGACTTGAGATGTTAAATGTGACATGGTTTTCTGCTACACCTTCTATTTCTTCTTCAATGCCTTCACTGCTATTGAGCAGCTGAAACCGTATATTTCGTGGATGTGGAACTGGAGCTTGGCATTTGATTTTGACACTTTTGTCATCATTGGCATACACTTCCCATGAGACTGTAGGGCTCTGAAGATCTGAAACAGAAGTAATTTTATAAAAAATAATA